GAGCTCCACGGGGAGGGAGGGAAGAGCTCCATGGGGAGGGAGGGAAGGGCTCCACGGGGAGGGAGGGAAGAGCTGCATGGGGAGAGAGGGAAGAGCTGCATGGGGAGGGAGGGAAGAGCTCCACGGGGAGAGAGGGAAGAGCTCCGTGGGGAGGGAGGGAAGCGCTCCGGGATGTTTCCAGCCGTGGGCTGGTCTCCCCGCTCTGCCCGCTGTGCCGTTGTTGTAGGCACGGTGCCAGAGCCCGGCTTCAAAGGGGATTTGGGAGGGGAGGGGGGAGATAAGGGCGCGGGTTTCGCCAGCCCGGGGAGGAGGGAGCGGCTGATAGGGCCGGCGATAGGAAATTCAATTTTGGTTCGGAGCGTGATGTAATCGCAGGGGGAGGGGGAGAAGGAAAACACGCTTTTCAGCCACTTAGGGCTTCCCTGTAACACAAATATCCCCATAAATGAGTAAAAGCAAGGAGAGGGTAAAAAAAGGAGTTTTTTTATTTTATGTAGTTTATTTTTATGCGTTGTGTGGCCCAGGTCCCCAGCTGTTGGCAATTGGCACTGGGCACCCCCAAGGCTCCAGAGAGGTGTGTGGACAGTCAGTATCTTGTAAACATGTCCTTGCTGATGGAGAAACTTCGTGGTTTGGGCTCTTCCACCCGAGCTCCAGAGAGCTGCCCAGGTGCACAGCCAGGGTGTGGGCAGGTCCTCGCCGGGTCAGGGGTGCTGTGGGGAGGCAGCCTTTGCCTTCAGTGCAGTATGAGACCCCGAGTCTTGTTTTTGCAAACACTTCTCCATCCTTAAAGCAGAGGGTGGAGGGGGTTGCGTTGTTCTGTGGTCCTCAGGGCTTGGCTGGTGGCTGGAGGGATGAGGCAGCCATTGGATACGTCTTAGGGCCAGCGCATCTCGGAACTCTGTCGCCTTCCCGTCTCCTTTTGCAACCCTTTTTCTTTCCCAGAAGGGCTTGGATTGGCCAGGCAGGTGCTGGAGCAACTTTTTTTGGGTGGAACTGAGAACTAGGTGAGCACTAGAGGGAGCTGCGGCCAGATGTGCTGCAGATGTTGGCACGCCCAGGCACGGAGCAGCTTTGGAGGCACTCCTGCCTCCACAGGGGTTGGCATCTCCTTTGTCCCTCTGCTCTGAGCGTCACCTCCAGGGCAAGAGTGGTTGTAAAGAAGCCAAATGCAGCAGGTGGGGTGGGGTTTTTTTGCAGGGCTTGCAGAATAAGCCCATGACAGCAAGAGCTGATGTTAGGAATCCCATGAGCTTGGTCCCTTTGGGAAGTCCCTGTTGTGGGACTGGTGGCCCAGCCGTGCCCTCTGGAGCCCTCCCCAGCTGAGCACGACTCCCACGGCCAAATCCCAGCCCTCCAGAACCCAGAGGTGGCCGAGCCACACCTCTTTTGGGGAACACAGGGTGTCCCCCGGCCCACCAGCCTGGAGCAGCCCTTCTGCAGCCAGCACAAAGTGTGTGTGTGTGTGGGGGGAAAATGGAAAGATTTTGTGCTTCCTGGCAGCTCCTGCCTCTCTCTCCCCCAGGCAGGGGTGGGAGGGAGCTGGGCACAGGGACGGGGCGCCGGCTAGGAGCCCGTCTGCCTGGAACGGGGGCTGCCAGATGAGCTGCTGGGACAGGGCTGGGGGCGAGCAGAGGGAGGGGGGGAACCACGGCTTTGAAGTTTGCTCCTCGCTCCGTAGGCAGCTCAGGAAAACTTGACAGAGCTCCACGGGGCCCTCTCGGAGCTCGGGGAGCCAAACTCTGCTGGCATCGACTTCAGTGGGGCCGGGGCTGGGAGTCAGCTGTGCCCGCTGCTGCTGCTGCCAGAGCTGCCTTTGGCACCGGGGCTGCAAACAGCTCTTATTTTAAGCTTTTGCTTCAGGGTTGGTTCCCCCGCCTCCCCTCCCATTTCTCTCCCTCTTCCTCCTCTTTCTTCTCCCGCATAAATTCTGCTTCCCTGTTTGAAAAGGCTCTGCAGGGCCAGTGGGAGGGTTTACCAGGGGATGTGGTGTCTTTCCCTGGTGCAGGGCAGGGTGGCAGGGGCACGGGCTGCCTCCGACTCCCAGGAGCTCAGACAAGGCTATTGCAACCCTCCTGCAAGCCTTTTCCAGGTGAAAGCCTGAAAAAGTGAGGCTCCTGCAGACTAAAAACCTTCAGTGAGACCGAATAGAAAAAGCCCCTCGACCTCTGCCTCTCTTTATTCAAGTTCACCCCACACTTCACTCTCCGCAGCCGTGTAATTTTGCCTAAATCTTTCTGTTTCACCCAAATCTCTGCGAGATTAAGGGGTTTAGGAACAGGAATGAAAAAGAGAGCCTTTGCAGAAAGCAAAGCTGACAGTCTGAAGCAGAAGTTCAGGGTTTCACCAACAGTCCCCCTGTGAGACTTTTGGATCACATCACACGAGGGAAAACGGGGAGATGCCCCCAGGGAGAGAGAGGAGACCCTTTCACCCTTTAAGGGTGTTTTAAAGGGCACCAATGCTCTGCTGCTCAGGTCAGGGAGTTTTTTCTCCCTTTGCCTTGACCAGCAGCAGTGTCTCACCCACAGGGGACCTTGTAAACCAAACACTGTGTGGCTTTTGCTGATACCTGCTGAGACCTGAAGGTGCTTCTCCCCATGAATAGATGCAGCTCCTATGAATAGTCTTCCCAGACCTGCAGGAATGGGCCCACACCTCTCAAAGGACCCAACACTGCAGAGCATTCATGTCCTCAGATGAATTTATTAACTGCCTGAGATAATTAAAAGAGTAAACGAATGCCATGATTCATCCCTGCATCATATTTCCTCTGTAATTATGTTTATGGCTTTCTGTCAGGATCCATAACTTCAATTGAAAGCCCTGCTATGCTATATATAAAGCAGGAGGTGTTTGGTTTGGGGCCTGTTTATTTAAAGGGATGGGTCAAATATGTATATCTAAAAAAAACCTCTGGAACAACCATCCCTCAGTCGTCCTCATCTTTCTGGAGAGTGAGGGATGGGGCAGGAGAGTCAGGGCAGAAGAGCAGGGTGTTAGCAGGAGCAAGCAGTGAAACCCAGCATTTCTAGGGCAGCAGTAGGTAAAAAAAACCCCCTTCAGACGAAGGCTGTGAGCCCACAGAAAGATGTTTGTCAGGGATTTTTTCCCAGATTGAGGGCTGTTGTGCTAACCCTGCCCTCCAGGGCTGGCTGTGCCCCTTGGGCTCCAGTTTCCTTCCCAGTGCAGGTGATCCCTGGAGACTGGGTGAGGACAGGGCAGAGACCCACCACCAAACCCCACCACGGACCAGACTCTCCTGGGGGAAGGTGGTTTTCTTCCCACTGCCCCCCAGGTGTCCTTTTCAGGGGGTGGCCATCCCTCCTCTGGGGTTGCCGGAATTCAGGGAGCAGGGAAGGGTGGTGCCTTTCCAAGGGGAGGGTTTAGGGTGACATTTCTGAGTGTAGGACAGAGCCTGGGCAAACCTGGGCTGTCAGGACATGGCCTAGATGACATGTTGGGCCTCTCACATCCCTGATCTGTGCTTTATAAAGGCACTTTTGGGTCTCAGCGAGTGACTGCAGTAACTGAGGTTTCTTTTCCATCTCCATTACCCTTTACTTTTTCCTCTCAGTGCTTGGAGATGTTTCCAATTACGGATTCTCACAAGCAAAGGCACGATGTTCGGGCCTGGGAGATGTTCAGGAAACACCTTCCTGCACCCTGGAGTTTTGTTCTGGGTGGGCTCATCCCACGGGGAACAGCCCCTGGTGCCCTTCACTGAGTTCTCCCCGGGGTTGAGGTGGTTTCCCTCTTCCTTGAAGCCAGTGTGTCCTTCTCACTGCATTGGAAACCTGCTGCTCTGGTGGTGTTCACTCCAGGCCATCTGTAACAACAACATCTCAGTGTCTCACATCCCCTTTTCCACTCTGGTGATGAGCTCCAGCCTGAACTCAGCTTCCACCCCAACCTGTCAGGGGTTATTTCTGCTGGTGGTGGTGAGACACAGGTGCCTCAGTGCAGCCTTCCAGGTCCTCTGAAGGTGCTGAAGGTCTCCATACAGGACCAGAAAGCGTGGTGCAGGATGTAGGAGATCCACGGATCGTTCTGGAGGGCCAGGTGGAACATCCCAGGGCTCCTCAAGTGTCACATGGCACCTCTGCTCAGAAAACTGAGCTGGTGCCCCACAGCACAGCCTCTCTCAGAGCCTTGGAATGCTCCTCCTGTGCCTGAAGCTCGGGCTGGGGAGTTCTCTCCCTCCTCCTGCCACACCCTGCCTGCTTCCCTGGCTGCTGGGACGTGCTGTGCTGGAGAATTTATCATTTTTGCTCTCTCAGTGATGAGCTGCCTTGGCCTCCTGCCTGATCTGTGCTGCAGCCCATTCCTGGGAGTTGCTGATAGGCTTTCTGGGATAAGCTTTCACAGGTCCCTGGTGCCAAGTGCTGGGGGTTGGACACATCTCACCCAGCCCCGTGCTTGCACAGCCCAGATGTGTGTGTCCCAGCTCAGGGCCTGGGTTTCCTGCACAGTGCACAAAGGGAGTGTTTCTAAGGCATGATGTTATCTCACAAGCACATCAGGCAAACTGCTTTCTAGATGTGGCTCTCTCCTGTCCTGGTTCACATGGGAGGCAGGATGAGCTGCCTCCTGGAGGTGCCCCTCTCCCAGTGTGTGAGGCACCGAGCTGAACTGCAGGGCAGCATTCCTGACCATTAAATTAGAAATTATTTAGGTTGGAAAAGACCTCTGTGATCATCCAGGCCAACCAATAACCCAGCACTGCCAAGCCCACCACTTTTTCCTTTCCCTTGAAACCCACTGGCCAGGACTCCTGTTTGCAGTGTGTTTAATGGGCCTCTCCAAACACATGCATGATGGATGTGTTTGCACAGCCAGCAGAGTGAGGCTTTCCCTTCCAGCTTTGCCACTGATTATCCAGTGCCAGAAACGCCAAACTCCAGCCCCCTGGGAATTTGTCAGCTCGGCCCTGGCGAGGATTGTGGCCTTTCCCTGCTGGAGGAGTGGCTGGGGTTACTCACAGCAGCCCTGAGAGAGCTCCAACACACACAGCAGCTGGTTCAAGCCGGCCTTGAGGGAGCTGGTGGAACACAGATATGATTTCCTGAGAGCAGGAGAACAGAGCTCGTACCCCCGCTTTTGGTCAGGGCTCAGTTTTAGCTCTGTTTCCATCCCATTTAACTTCTGAGGGATGTGCATGTTATAGCAATAAAGTGCAATGCACCCAGAAATGTGTCTGCTAATAAGCCAAACCAACCGAGATGGCTTGGGATGAGAACTGAAAGGCAACACATTTAACAAGGAGAGAAGGAAATATGTGTTAAAGTGGTTGTGCTGCCAGGATCAGATGCCAGTTATTGATGCAGCCAGCTAGAAAGTTGTTTTATGGGAAGGAATAACATTTATGACTACCCTAAGCAGGCCATAAAGACACAAAGGGAGTTACACACCAGGCTTCTGCTGATCTCTGTGGGTGCTTGGGGGAGAAGAGCACAGCCCTGCATGAGGCATGGCAGCTCTTTTTTTGCTTTTTCAACCTGGAAAAGTTGGCAGTGGCACACTGGAAGTACCAACAGGGTCTTTGGGGTGCTGTTGTTTCCTTCCGTGGTGACAAACGTGCTGGGGTTGGTTGGTGGGTCCCTCCTGGGTCTGACCGTGGTGCTCTCCCTGCACATCCTCTCGTGGTGCTTTTGCACTCTGGTTCTTGGGGACTGGAGAAAGCAGTGATGGGATCATGGAGGGCCTTGGCCTGGACTCTAAGTGGAAGCATGTGTTTTGCAGATTTGGTGGCTTTTCCCTGGGCCTGGCAGGGGATTTTCTCCGTAATTAGTTATATGACATTTGGCATAATCCTTTGAGAGTGTGTGAGACAGACGCCGAACGCAAAACACTGATAACACCAATGGCACTTTTTTCCCCCCTGAATGCCACAGTCCTGGAGGATCCAGCTTTCTGTTATCATGGAACTGATGGGCCATTTTTCACTCTGCTGGGAGGTCTGTCCTCTTCATTCTTCAGCAGAAACCTTCCCATAGGATTTACACACTCAATCAACCCGGCACATGCCCCAGGAGCTTTGTGCAGACTCCCCTCCCTAACGGAGGGAAATATGCACTTCTGGAGGGGGTTTCTTCCCACCTGCCTTAAATGCCTGCTTTAAATGAGACAAATCATCCTCATAGCTGCCTGTCTTTCTCACCAGCTTCAACTAGTCCCCTCTTTACAGAAAGCTTCAGGTGAGCCCAGGCCACTGGACCGGGGGTGGAGAAATTAACACCGACCTAAAGCTCGACTTTTTAAACGCGTTTTAACCCTTTTTTTTTTTGTGCTTGTCTCCTCAGAGCTCTGTCCAAGACCCCCTCGGCTCTGGCCCTGAACCAGACCCAGCACTGCAAGCAGCTGGAGGGGCTGGTGGTGTCCCAGGTGCAGCTGTGCCGCAGCAACCTGGAGCTGATGCAGACCATCATCCAGGCGGCACGGGAGGTCATCAAGACCTGCCGAAAAACCTTCTCGGACATGCGCTGGAACTGCTCCTCCATTGAGCTGGCTCCCAACTACCTGCTGGACCTGGAGAGAGGTAACCAGCCCTGCACAGGGAGGGCAGTGGGGACAGTCAGCCAGGGGGTGTGTGCTGGGCAGGGGAAGGGTCCTGCTGATGGGGGGAATGTGGAGAGGCTGCACAGAGAACACTGTCCTGTTCTCTGAGACCATCCTCAGGGTGCCAGCCCTGCCCAGGAGCTCCTGGCTCCAAGACAGCACAGCTCTTACAGAGCAGACCACCACTCTGCTCTGCTCAGGAGCTCTTGGCTCCAAGACACCACGGCTCTTACAGAGCAGACCACCACTCTGCTCTGCTCATCCCATCGGGAGTCACGGGAAGAGCTCAGGGGCAAAAGGAGGTGGGAGAGTCCATGAAAGGGCTTTTCCACACACTCCAAGAGCAGATCACACCACAGTGGACAAGCTGCATAAACCCAGGTGACTCCTGGCCCTGCTGGGATCTTGCCTTGTGTTGAAGAGCTGTGATGCCATGGGACACCTCAGCTGGTGTGCTGCCTGCTCTGTGGGGTCTCTTTTTGGGGAACCTTGGCCCAGGGGCCTGAGCTGGAGTTGTTGTCTCTTGCAGGCACAAGGGAGTCAGCATTTGTGTATGCCCTTTCTGCTGCTGCCATCAGCCACACCATTGCCAGAGCCTGCACCACCGGGGACCTCCCTGGCTGCTCCTGCGGCCCCATCCCAGGTGAGACACCTGGACCTGGGTATCGATGGGGAGGATGTGCAGACAACCTCAACTATGGTCTTATCATGGGGTCCAAATTTTCAGATGCTCCCATGAAGATGAAAAAATCAGGATCACAAGCCAATAAACTGATGCATCTGCACAACAGTGAAGTAGGGAGACAGGTAACAAATCCACGAGAGTTGTTGTACTTGTACAAACATCCGTAGTGCTCGGTGGCTCTGTGAGGTTCAGTGGCTTTGTCAGCCAGGGAGAGGAGCAGGTTTCTCTAATAATTCTCTCTAAGTCCCCCTGGGAGTCAGGAGGCCCCAGATGCCCTGATCAGCCCTGTGTGACCGTGGGGGGGGATGTCCCAGTGCCTCCTGAGAGCCGGGGGTGGCTCTGGCTTGCTGACCCAAGGTGGGGCAGGGCTTCCAGGGGCACTGTGTGTAAGTGTGGAGGATCAGCACCTGCAGCAGCTGCCTCCAGCCATCCCTGCAGCCAGGAGGGGTGATTTCTTCCCCTTTCCAAGCTGCTTTGCTGGCGATTATTCTGGTGTCTGGCAGAGTTCAGCAGCTCACACCAGGCGGAGGGACGATGCTGACCACGTGCAGTGGGTGTGCTCTGAGGGGCAAACCCCGAGAGCAGCCCTCCTGCAGCTGGACAGACGGGTGGGGGACTGTAAAACCGACCCCTGCACCCACCTCTGGGGCTGCTCCCACCACACCCCCTGTGCAGACAGGACCTGGAGCGTGCTGAGCTCACGGGCAGCGTGTGCTGTGAGCCACAGGCTGAGGGCAGCTCTGCAGGGCACAGCTCAGCTTCCCTCCCCTGGGCCTTTTCATTCTGCTGCCGCCACCCTGTTTGCTTTGGGGTTTGGTTTTGTTTTGTTCAATTTTGTTTTGCTTCTGTGATGTCTTGAGTTTTCCTTTCAATTGCAAAGGGCGGATTTTTGTTTTGTTGCCATGGCTGGTGCATTCAGCCCTTTCCTGGCAGCATCTGCCCTGTCCCACCGAAATGAGACCAGGGCAGAGCCAAAGGAAAAGGCTCTTTTGGCCCCATGACCAGCAGAGAGGCAGAGTGAGAGTGCCCTGAATTCATCACAGCTATGACATTTCTCTCGCTGAACCCCAAAGCTGCCGCAGGCTGAAATGGATGTTAATGATCTATTTGTGGAGCGCTTTGATTTTTTGGCTCCTGTGGAATTTAGGGGGTGGAAATGCAGCCCAGTGGAGATATCTGATCAAAATTCAAAATGCTGCTCTGTCTGCTGGCTGCAAAGGCGCCCTGGTGAGAGTAGTGCTGGGCTGATAGTGATCACCAGGGAGCTGTGGGATCTCATTCCCTTTGCAGAGCAGCTGCTCCGGAGGGACTGAGCAGAAATGAGAGCAGCAGTCCTCCTCTAGAGCAGTCCCTGCTGAGAAAGGGCCTTCTTTAGCAAGCTTGTGGGATGTGTGGAGGTAAGAGAAGGGCGTTTCCTAACTCCTGCATTCCTTTTTGCAGGTCTTGAAAGCCTCTCTTGAAATGAAATGTAAGTGCCATGGAGTTTCTGGGTCATGCTCTATCAAGACCTGTTGGAAAGGCCTTCAAGAGCTGCGAGACATTGCACTGGACCTCAAAAACAAGTATTTATCTGCCACCAAGGTCGTTCACCGGCCCATGGGCACACGCAAATACCTCGTGCCAAAGGATATTGATGTCAGGCCAGTTAAGGAGACAGAGCTGATTTACCTGCAGAGCTCGCCCGATTTCTGCATGAAGAACGAGAAAGTGGGGTCCCATGGCACCCAGGACAGGTGAGGGTTCTGCAGGGAACACGTGTGAATGAGGGGCAGAGTCACTGGGGAGGCAGCACATGCCTGCAGGTAAAGAACACCTCTAAAACATCTATCTATCTACAGAGGCCCAATCCTGTTAATGGTGGCTGTGGCCAAGACAGGGCTTCTGACACCTTTTGCATCACCCAGGCAGGCACAAGATCCAATCTGAAATTCCCCTCAGGAACCTGTAGGGATCCAGCAGCTGCTTTACACTGTGTTGGGTCTCAGTCGTTGCTTGCAGTCACTGCTGATCAGATGAGTTGTTACTCTAAGGCTCCTCTGAGTAGGTAAATATTAACCCAATTGGGACCAGTGCTCCTATACAGCCTTAAAATAGCCTGAAAAACGACAAAGATACTTTTTACATTTTTTTTCTTCTACTGCAGTTCCCAAGTCCAGGTGTGTTTGTGCTGCTCGTGACTCTGCAGAGGAATTTCTTTCTCTCATTAATATTAGAGATTTAAGGCCATCATGGCCAAGCCCAGCCTCCCCTGGGCAGGGTGCTGTCCCCTCCACACATGCCTGTCTCTTCCCACCCTCTGCTGATTTTCATCTAACACAAACTCATTGGGCATTTCAGCAGCCTGAGCATCTCTAGGTGGGCAGACCCACCTGATCTCTCTGGGGCAGACCCATCAACAGCTAAACAGTTGTGTGGTTCCAGAATTTTCTTATTGTTTGTTAGGTGGCTGTCTCATTAGCTGCTCTCTTGCTGGTTTGCTTTTCTTTAGACAGTTCTCATAATGCTTCTTTGCTCTGTGCTGGGAACCCCAGGCTGAGGTTCATCTCCAGCCCAGCAGTGGAGCAGCAATTACCCAGTGAAGATGTTTAGGGGTCACTGAGGGTTGCAGGGAAAAAAAAAAAACCCACATGTATTGAAACTGGTTTCTGAGGGAAAATGTCATCTGAGTGGAATTGGTGGGTTTGTGGATTTGTGTGGATTTTGACTTATTTGTGTCTTGAAAAAGACCCCTTTGTTGTGTCGCTCTGTTTTGAAACGAACAAAAAACAACTGGTGGAGGTTATTTGGAAGTGAGTTTTATAGGAATTGCATGAAATGAACAGGTTGTGTCGAAACCAAACTGAATTCAGTGCAGATTTGCCAAGTAAAACATTTTCCACGAGCTGAAATCCTTTCAAGGGGGGGAGGGAGGTGTGACTTCTTCTTCTTCTTCATCTAATCTCATTTCACAGCAGATCTCAACTTTTTATCCCAACCGGGGATAAAAAATATGTCTAGATCTTGAATTATTCTTTTTTTTCCCCTTCTGGGGACAAGGGAATGTGTATTGCAGGCGTCCCTTTATCCGGGCGGGGTGACGGCAGCGACTGTGGGGCTGCCAGCCCCGGGCCCCGGGGAGGGAGGATTTAGAGGCCGAGATACCCGGGCAGGAGGGGATGACTTTCAAAAGGAACCTGTCAAAGAAATCCTCCTCCTCCTCAGCCGTGCAGGACGGGCTGGCTGTGGGAGGGGAGGAGGGTGAGCCAGACCCCTTGATCAGTTCTAAGCTCGTGTGTAGCCGGGCTTGTTTTCATCACAGTCCATTTGCAGGCTCTCCAGAAGGTGCCTGGGGTCTCAAAGCTGGCACGTGCAACACAAGCCACGGCAGCCTGCTTTAAATTAGCAGAGGAAATAGGTGTAAAATGCACATTTTGGGCGTGAAGATCGGTCCGTTCTTCCTGGGGGGATCTTCCCTAACCTCATCTTCCCGTGGGTGCCTTTTTCCCCTTTGCAGTTTTCCTCTCATGGAGAGGACATCTAACTGCATTTTTGAATGTGGTGGCTCGTTCCAGAGCCTGCTGCAGGCTGCAGATGATTCCTGGTGACAGGGGTGAGGGAGAAGGAGCACAAAAGGGGTGCTGTTAGAGAGGGCACAGCGAGATGTGGGTCCTGCTTGCTGCACAAAGGTGTAAAAACACCCTCTTGGAAATAGCTCAAACGGTTTTTTAGTTTATAGGTCAGGCTCTGGAGGCATCTGAACATTTTATTCCTGTGCACATTCAAATTTTCTGGAGGGAGGTCCCACTGTTTCCCACTAGGCTCTTTTTAAGGTCTTTTATGGCAAATGCAGTCAAAAAGGATTTTTTTTTTTTTGTGATGGTCCCTCAGTTCATATTCTCTCTTCTCCACCACCTGCCCACTTCCTTTTTGGCCTTTTTCTGGGTGCAGAGGTCAGTCCATGGGGTGTTAGAGTGTATTCCCCTGTCCTCACAGTCTGGGAGACTCCAGGCTGGGCATCTTCAGCATCTTTCCAGCCCTGCTTCTGCCTCCAAAGGGATTCAGACAGGGGGAAGACCCCACTAACAACCCTTTTTCCCATTCCTGGATTAAAATATTCATATTGCTGCGTTTTTGTTGCAAACATTGCTCAGTTTTGTACCATATCCCCCCTCCCTCTCCCCACGTGTGGTGCTTGCTCAGAGGGCACCGGGAGCAGGACAGAGGCTGGGGGTTCCTTGGAACACCTTGGATGTGCAGGTTTTCAGTGTGTGCTGCAGGGAACAACCCTGCTCCAGCAGGTGGGTGGAAGGGATAATCTCACTGGGGATCCCTCTGATGTGAGGGATCACATTATGCAGACTCACTGCAGGAGAGGGAATTGAATTCCCTTGTAGTGGAGCCGCCTGAAAACCCACCTGGAAAAGGTGCACCCGGTCACTCAAAAGCCTTTCAGAGCTCTTTGCTGAAAGGATTTCAAAGCCCTCTCCAGAACAAGCCTGAAATGTCTTCCAGGACACCTTGGGCTTCCTTAGCTGGTTGAAATTAGAAATGGTTTGGAGACCTGCAGGCCTGCAAGTGCTTGGGGCGTTTCAAAGGCAGGGAACCCAACCCAAACCTGAGATCTGAAACCTCTTTGAGGTGCTCAGGGTCTGACTGAGGAGCTGAGTTATGCACCCAGTGTCCAAGTCTCCAGCAAAGGAGACTTGCTGCTGCCACACAGACTCCAGCCAAGCTCTGTGTGCTCATATCCCACTTCCAGAGCCCGTTAAAAATAGTCTGGAGGAAAACCTAAAGAGGCTGATCTGTGGAGCTGCGAGTGGATTGTGCAGCTTTCAATATAGCAAATTAACCACTGGGAAAAAAAAAAGTAAATGTTCCCCTTTCAGGAGCTGGGCCAGCTCTGCCTTATTTTGCATTTTCTCACCTAATGCCTGGGGAAGATTGGATCCTTTCTGCTCTGAGAGACCTGGATTTCACCACAAATTTTCCTGAACAGAATTGTGAATAATAAATTTATCGATGGAGAGAATAATTTCACATAGTAAAAGTGGATAATGAATCCAGCTCTCCTGAATGCATTTAGTCCCTCTGCATCAAAATGGAACTGGAGTTAGGGAAAATTGGGTCTGGGAATGATTTTCCATGGAGCCTGACCTTTTCAGGAGCAAGGCTGAACTGAGATCAGCTGGGCTGTTACTGAAGATGTTTCTCTGCTCTTAAATGCAGTTTCCCCAAACAACCCGTTCCAGGGTTTTACTGTCCTCAGTGTTATGTTTTTCTTAATCTGAATTCAAACTAAACATAATCTAAAATCAAATTAATAATTTCTTGTCCTCTCTTCTCAGCATATAAAGAGGATCTCTTCTCTCTCCTTGTTGCAATAATCTTTTATGGATGGGAAGACACCTCTTCTTACACACTTCTCTAAATCAGTTCCTTCATCATTTTCTAGTTTCTTAGTTTGTGAACTGCTCCTCTGGCTCTCCTGGGAACATTCCCACATTTATCTGGATCTTTCTCAAAGTGTGGTGCTTACTTTGCATTTTAATCCACTCTCACAGAACGTCCTCAGCTCCTTCTGCCCCAGGGTTATCCCACATTTTTAAGCTCACTGTCTCCTCCTCATTAATGAAAATCCAGGCTGGTTCCAGGCTGTCCCTGGACATCTCCTTGCTGACATGAGCTATTGATAACTCTCTCTCTCGTGCAGTTGTTCAGTGTCAGTCTCAGTCATTCCTCGGGGATGAGAAAGCAATTTAAAAGTAGTTAAGATTCTACCCTCAAAATCTTACATGAGGCTGGACTTTGATGTATTTTTAGGAATGTCCATTGTGTTACACACCTCCTGAGGGACTCAAATTATTTTTCTCTTTCTTTCTTTTATATACTGTGCATTACTTGACACTGCTGGAGCAAGGTGCACCGAAGAAATAAACAGGAATTTTATTTAAAAGAGGAAAAGATCAATCACTCCTTTACACAGCAGTACTGTCTTCTGGGGCTCGTAGCTGCTGCAGTTTGTGGAGGCAGATGGTTTCCCTGAGGTCAGAAGGGGCTGAGGGAAGCACAGAGCCAAGGAGGATACTGGGATGTCAGGGAAGGAACGTCCCTTCCATCATCCCTAATGCAACAGCCCAGGTGCTCGTGGGGTGTGAGAAACAGGGCTAGAGAAAGGGGTCAGATTTGTGTTTTCCTCTCTTAAAAAAGTCTCCCTCACCAGCTGGGAGGTGCCCTGGGCCAGGCAGGCAGTCACTGTGCCCCAGAATGACCTTTCCTATGTCCCCACGAGCAGCTTTCCCTTCTCCATGGCACTGATGGAGTGAGGTTCCTGTTCACATCTGGCCTGGCCCCGTCATCACCTGTCAGAATTGTGGGTGACACAGCACAGGCTGGCCTCAGTTTGGATCCCAGATACCAAAAACCAATATCTGTCCTTCTGTCTGCTCCTGGGACAGAGTGAACTGGGACCCACAGTGACACCTGGGACACGGCCGAGTTCACAGCTGGACTCCAGGGATCTCAGAGGTCTTTTCCAACCTGAGTAGTTCTGTGATCTCCCCATAGCTTTTAAAATCAGACTCCCCACTCTCCACGTTGGGGGAAGACTCTCAGAAGTGCAGGGATGTCCTTCCCTGCCTCTGCCCGTGATGGGGCCGTGGGGTTCCTGCAAATGAGGGCTGCAAAGGGGGGATTTGGGGCAGCACACTGAGTGGGGTTTGTGCAGTCAGCAGGGCTGATCCCCTCCCTTCTCTCACAAAGACAGGAAAAGCAGTGTGACAGTGCCCAGGGCTGTCCCTGAGCCAGGCCCTGAGCGTTGTTTTCCAGCCGCATCCCGAGCGCTCGCAGGGGTCCCGGTGTTGTGTTAAGATGCAAATCTCCTCCTCGGTGTTTTCTCTCCGAGGCTCAGGAGGAGGGCACTGCTCGGGCTTGCTGGAATCGTGCTGGACCAGACCCAAAACAAATGGGACTGAACTTAACCCGCCAGCGGGAGCGGGGTGGGATCCAGCCCCGGGCTCGGGGAGCAGCTTCTGTGGGCAAACTCTGCTCCTGGGGCTCCTTTGGCTTCCCCCACTTGCTTTTTCTCGAAACATCTCTGGTTTATCTTGTTCAAGGAAAAAAATAAATGTAATTCATCCAGGCCTACACTTTAAAACAGAAAGCAAAATCTCTGCTTAGTGGCATCGCCAGGAAAGCTTTTTAGAGGCGCATTTAGGTTCAGGATGGGGTCAAAGGCTTTGTTTTGGCTATTCAACTCATCCATCCACAATGCCCCTGTTTCCTTATACCAGACTGAGGGAAGCTTGAGGATTTTTTAGTAAGATTTTGGTTTTTTTCCTTTCTTTGATCCGGGCTGGGTGGGATGGGGACAGCTGTGCAAAGGTGTATCTCCTACTAGATCCACGTTGGTTTTTTTTTTGGCAAACCACAGGAGTGGATGGGGGAAAAGGGAGAATCCCAGTACGGCAGGAAGAGGAGTTTTACTCTGTTTGGATGGGGTAAATGTCTCTGCTGGGTACTTTGTGTGCCTGGGGAGTGAACATCCTCAGTGGGGAGCTGGAGTCAGAGTGGGCCCCTGTTCCTCTGCTTGGCCATTTTGGTGAGGTCTCAGCACGAGGTGGATGCCCCACACATCCCTCACCAGGCTGCAGCTCCCCGTCCTCCCCAGGTGAACCTCAGCCTTCCCATCCCCTGGCAGAGCTGAGGAAGGTCGTCAAACACCCTCCCCTCTTCTAATGTCAACAGGCCTGCACGTGAACCTTTGCTCTGAATATTTAATGCATTTACTAATACATTTATGAGGAGTCATGTGGAGGTTTCCTCGTGGAGGGGCCCTGGCTCTCAGGGGCAGCGAGAGGGCCTTTGGTTCAGCTTGGCAAACACGCTCAGAGCGCTGCAGACCCGGCTCTGCTGGAGGCTTTCAAAGGTTTGTAAATATTGACACACACTCCCCAACCAGGGGGACTGGGGGGGCCTTTAAACACTGAACCTGGAGAGGAATGCCAGGCAGAATAACAAACAGGAGGCAGAAGAAAATGGAGGAAGAACAAGAGCAAAATCTCAACACTTCATTAATCCCACAACTTCTCCTAAAGCATTACCTCATGAGGAATTCCTATAAATCTCATGGATTTGTTTTCATCCATTACTGGTGTGCTCAGCTCATGCTCCTCTGTCCTTTCTCTGCCCCAAAGCAGCCTCAGAGCGGTTCTGTCCAAAATAGCCACGCAGAGCAAGATTTAGGAGAGATGTCAGCAACTCCCCCAGTCCCCAAACCACCTTTCCTGCAGCAGTTTCGAGCCTCCATCCCGTTCACAGCCCCTGGGAATGGGGTGCATGGTGAGATTTGTTACCCTGAAGTGCAAGCACCTGACCAAACACGGGCATTTCCACCCTGGGTGTCCTTTACAGCCCACGGGGAAACAGCAGCTCCAGGACATGGTTCATCTCACCCTGCTGTGCTTTCATGGCCGGTGACCCAACTTGGAGGATTTTAGGAGAATGAGAGAGATGGTTTTTGAGCAGCACAGCTGTGACATGGCAATCAATGAAAGACGTTCCTCAATCCATGAGTTGCCTCTGAAAACCTCGGGCCAGTCACTTGCAAGCAGACAAAAAATGAGGGAACCCAACACAAGGGCTGACTTACCCCGGTGGGTCTGGCTTTAATTAAAAGCAGAAGCAAAACAAGCAGTGGGAGTCCGTGTGATATTTGGTGACTTGTCACCCTGCCCTGTGTTCCTGCCACGCTTCCTGCTCCTGGGTCGGGACCTGGGGTGTCGTGGGGCTGCTGGGAGACAACCAAGGGGGAAGAGGTGCAGCTCTGCTGGTGTTGGTTGTGATTGCCCTGATAGGATCAGGGCTGGAGAGGGGCTGCAGCAGCCTGCTCGGGATCTTTCCCAGCCTGGGATGCTTGGCATGGAGCCTGTGCAAACACTGTGTGGCTGCAGGGCTCCTCCTCCAGCCTCTTCAGGTTGGGGAGTGCTGGACAAACACCAGGGTTTGTTCTTTGGGGTGTCATCCTCTTCCAGCTCCTTTCAGACAGTTTCGGAGCCTGCCTGGGAATACAGATTGCTTGGGATGAGGAGTTTTTGCTGGGGGGGGGTATCCCAAAACCTTTGCTTGTCTGCCTGTGTGGGAGGCGGGTTCAGGAGCCTGAACTGGGAGTCAGAACTGGAGTTGGGTGTGGGTTTGGGTGTCAGAGCAGGTGATTTTGGGTGTCAGAGCAGGTGGTTTTGGGTGTCAGAGCAGGTGGTTTTGGGTGTCAGAGCAGGTG